AGGAGCAAAGAGGGGGAGAGGAACATCAGGAAGCACTACAAATGAGGCACCTGGAGGAAGCACATCCACTGGTAGGGGCAGTGGAACAACAACAAGCACTACAGGGTTCATGCCCTACTTCACAGCTAGTGGGAATTACTGAAGCTGTTCTTGTTGCATGTTATTTTGGTTGTCTGGTCAAAAGCCATGTTGCCATGTGGTTATGTGAAATACTGGCTTAAACTAGTACTTTTTTGGATCTATTGTTCCTGTTAACTACTACTTATTTTGGATCTATTGTCCCTATGAACTTGTGGCAATGCAACGTGAACTTGTTGGTCTCAATTTCTGTTATCTATATGTGATGATGATCATGTTGTTCTATATGCATTTCCTCTTATTTTATTTATGCAACTGTGAAAATGATTTGCATGAGTGTTGTCAATTACATAGCACTGACTTTTTACAGCAACCAAGCTCTAAACTGGCACTAAATGCCAGCATTTTCAAATGGAACTGCGGTACTCATGCATAAATAAAATAAGAGGAAATGCCAGCATCTTCAAATGGAACTGCAATACTCAGGTCAAACATATCAAACTGCATTTGCATTCCAACATGTTTGAAATTCATTACATAGCCTGCAAATCAGTACATTTGCTCAAATGTAGTACATGAACTAGCCTAAAAGCATCCCTACAAATATACCAGATACAAATATCACAATGCCATACACCAATAGCATCTGTTTACTGACAGATTTCTGACTAACTGATGCATTTTCCTCTGTTTTCTTTCTCCCTGCATCCATGAAATCAACACCAACAGCTCGAGAATCTCCTTCATTACACAATGCAGCAACATCTGCCTCAAGCTTCCATACTCTATCTCGAAGATCTCCAAGTAATCCACGCAAAAATGAAGATGTAGGCTCGTCATGCCACTGAACAAATCCATGTTGTTCAATTATTTAGAATTTTGTCAGACGAAGAAGAATGAACAAAGCAGAGAGAGGAACAATCCAGATCAGAGAAACACAACAGAGAAGATGGAATCAACCATACCTGAGCTTCTACGCAAGCATAGTATCTTCTTACAGGGTTCGCCGGACTCCAGGAGATCCAGCGTGGTGCCTTCCTCCCACAACGGGCGCAGACAACTGCGGGCTCGTAGTCCATGGGCTGCTCCCGATAGGGCACCGGCGACCTTGCTGGTACGCCTCTCCGTCGAACCCCTCCACCGCGAGAAGAAGAAGACCCAAAGGAAGAAGACGACATCCTCGCCACTGCCGCAAGTCGCCGCCAGCGCTCGCCTGAACCCTAGATTCGATCCCTTCTAGCGTCTGAATTAATAGAGTTAGGTGGCCCAAGCCGACGTGGCGCATTTATTAAGCAATCCCACCTTGAAACTGTGCCACGTCAGCTAATCCCACCCTAGAACGCACTAAAGGTCAAAAACATCCGGGATTAGTGACGACAGGACACAGACTTCCGGGATTTGGAGGTCGGGGTTCGTTTTCGATGCACGCTACCCTCTCAGGGTTTAAAACAGACTTTACTCAAAGAAGGACCTTGATAAGTGCCACACGTGTGGCACGAACACATGGCAACTCCGAACATTTTTTCATGACAATTTTAGTAACGCGAGGATGGCAACTTTAATTGTTAAGCATGGCAACTTCTTTTCGGATGGCAAGTTTTAGTTTTTTTAGGATTTTTTTAAATGACAACTTTAGATGTAAAAAATGTCAGGACCGGAGTGCTTCATGCCACACGTGTGGCACTTATCATTTGGAATAAACAAAGAAAAGAAAAGAAATGAAAGGAGAGGAACCGAAAGGAAACAAAGAAAAGGTTTTTCTTGTGCTCTTTGTCGGGCACACGACAACGGTGACTGCGCTGCTAGCCTTCCATCAAGCGCGACAACAGCGGACACATTTGTTGAGTGCATGTAAGTAGACACTTGGCAGAGGTGACTATTTGCCGAGTTCCCTGCTGTTGTTGAGTGTTTTCCGAGGCAAATTGTCGTCTTTGCCGAGTGTTTGTGTTTTACTGAGTTTTTTCAGTATGCATTTTAGTTTAGGTGATTCTTTGTCAAGTGCCCAACAAAATGCACTTACCAACCGTCGGTAACTCCGTACCAGTCGATTCCGGTAGTGCCTCTCCGTTGGCTAGTCTGTTGGACCAACCATACTTGTCATATAACTAGATTGAGCAAATATATCACCAGCTCCCTACCGAAGCCGGCGCCGGCGGGGCTAGTTCTTCCTCCGTGCGATGGGGCGGCGCGGGCTTCTTCATCGAGTGCGGGCGCGGGGCACCGCGGCATGGCGGCGCGCGGCCCCCTAGTGGGCATG